TATGTAACTCATTAATAATCTGACTGCCATTAGCTTTAAAACTAAGGTAATTTTACTTTATAATGCTTTTGTTTCCACTTTAAAACTGATGATACAATTTGGCAATGTAGGTGGGTGGGTGCAGGGGGAAGAGCAGGAAATCAACTCAACTACAGGTTATACTACTCTGATTCAAAATGGATCACTGAAAGAAAACATATAACTAGGTAGGCCTACATGGCTCAGGGGATTGGTAGTGGAATTCAAACCAGTGGCCCTTGATGTTTTTGTGTCAGTTACACTAGGTAGCGACCAAGATTTGCTAGCCCATGTTCAATGGTTATCATCTGTTCAGCTTTTGAAGCACTGTTTTGAAAACACACAGTTTGAGCCCCAATGTGGACACATGGTAAATTTGAGACCCTAATTATGTCTGAGATAGCCATAGCCTTGGCTGTGATTATTTTCTTTGTGAACACTTCTTTACTGGCAAATTGGACTAAGACCAACCAGTCCCCAATTTTTTTCACAAAAAGATCCAGTTTGTGGTAACTCCGTTTAAAGAAGGTTAGGTGACAGCACAAATATGGGGCCAAAATCTTATTTGAAAAAACTGTGTTTAAAACCTAATAAGAATCCAAGGTCAGAACCCAGTTTCCTCTTCTGTTTTTAACAAGGTTTGGATCTAACAATACTGGCTGACCAAACAATCTTTAAACCAAGTTAGCATGAGAAGATAGTTACCTTTTCCATAACTGGTGCTCGAGATGTGTTGCTCATGTCTACTCCACAATCGGTGTGCATGCTTGCCACGTGCACTGGTACCGGAAGTTTTTCCCCTTAGCAATACCCATAGGGGAGCGCCCCTAGCGACCCCTGGAGTGGCGCCTCCATGGAGTGGTATAAGGGGCGCTGTGTGCTCCCCCCACCCTCAGTTCCTTCTTGCCAGACAACTTCGACAGAAGGGAAGGAGGGCGGGATGTGGAATACACATGAGCAACACATCTCGAAGAACACTAGTTACGGAAAAGGTAACTGTCTTTTCTTCTTCCAGTGATTGCTCACGTGTATTCCACAATAGGTGATTCCAAGCTATTTCTGTTGGAGGTGGGTAGGAGTTCACAGGCTCTCGGGACGGAGTACGGCCCTGCCAAACACGGCGTCCTCCCTGGTTTGGGAGACTATCGCATAGTGCTAGGTGAACGTGTGAACTAAAGACCACGTGGCAGCCCTACAAATGTCCTGAATGGGGGCATGGGCCAAAAAGGCAGCTGACGAGGCCTACGCCCTAGTTGAGTGTGCCCTCACAACTGGTGGTGGAGGGATTCCCACCAGGTCATAACAGGTACAGCTGCACGAGGTGATCCAGTTAGAGAGCAGCTGAGTGGAGATCGGCCGACCTTTCATGCGTTCGGCCGAGGCGATGAAGAGCTGCGAGGACTTCCTAAACAGCTTAGCCCGCTCCAGGTAAAAAGCCAGAGCCTGTCTCACGTCCAGCGTGTGGAGGTGGCGTTCCTTACTGGACATATGGGCCTTGGGGCAGAGGATCGGGAAAAATGTCCTGACCCATGTGATTGACGGAAACCACCTTCGGGAGGAACGAGGAGTGTAGACGGAGCTGGACCTTATCTTTATGAAACACCATTTACGGGGGCTCGGAGGTCAGGGCCCTGAGTTCTGAGACCCGCCTAGCTGACGTGATCACTACCAGGAAGGCTACTTTCCACAAGAGGTGCGACCAGGAGCACGTAGCTAGCAGCTCAAACGGGGAACCTGTGAAGCAGGCCAGCAGCAGGTTCAGATCCCACTGTGGGACTGGGGGCCGAATGTATGGGAAGAGACTATCCAATCCCTTAAGGGATCAGCCGGTCATAGCATGGGAGAATAACATGTGGCCCTGCACCGGCAGATGGTAGGACAATATGGCCGCCAGGTGCACCTTCACTGACAAGGGCACCAGGCCCCGGGCTCTAAGGTGAAGGAGGTAGTCCAGAATAAGCTGGCCACTGGGAGACTCCCCACTTGTCCGCCCATCTGGAAAACCAAGACCACTTTGCCAAGTAGGCTCATCGCGTGGAGGGCCACCTGCTTTCGAGCACGTCCTTTCCTCCTTACCTAACCATTGAGCAGCCACACCATGAGGTTTGAATGTCGCTAGGTTGGGGTGGAGGAGGCGGCCCTGGTCCTGGGATAGCAGGTCTGGGAGGGCCGGCAACAGCCATGGCGGGGCAACCGCCAGGCCCGTGAGGGTCCCGTACCAATGCTGCCTGGGCCATGCCGAGGCAATCAGGAGGACCCAGGCCTTGTCCATCTTTATCTTTTCCAGGACCCTGCCAATCAGTGGGAACAGGGGGAAGGCATACAGAAACTTGCCTGACCAGGACAGGAGGAAGGCATCTGAGACAGCTCCCCGTCCCAGCCCCCTTCAGAGCAGAACCGGGGACAGCAATGGTTCTGCCAAGATGCGAACGGGTCCACCTGAGGAGTTCCCCACACTTGGAAAAGTCTGTGCACCACCTCTGGGTCGAGAGACCACTCGTGCTGAGAAGTAGTCGTCCATGCTCAAACAATCCGCCCTCACGTTCCGAGCGCCCAGCAGATGGAAGGCCTGTAGGCAGATGTCGTGGGCTATACAAAAGTGCCACAGCCTGAGGGCTACGCGGCAGAGGGCAGAAGATCTGGCCCCGACCTGCCTGTTGATGTAGAACATCGAGGCGGTGTTGTCCGTGAGGACCCTGACCACCCAGCCCTCCAGGTGCAAGCGGAAGGCCATGCACGCCAGCCATACCGCCCTGAGCTCCTTGACATTTATGTGTCGGGTCAAATCCTGAGCCGACCACAGACCTTGGGTCTGAACGCTCCCCATGTGGGGCCCCCCCAATCGCAGGTCCGACGCGTCAGACACCAGTTCCAGTGACGTGGCCCTGCCCCTGAACGTATTTCTCGGGGAGGACCACCTCCTTAGGGAGGTGAGCACTTTGTCCATCCTGTCCCTGGCCTGGGAGAACTCTGAGGCCAACCAAAGCTGGACAGGCTAAACGGGAGGACAGTAAATTGGCAGTGTTCCCACCATGAAACGGAGAAAGCATCTGTGCCCCTCAAATATATGAATATGGAAGTACACGTCCAGCAGATCGAGGTCGGCGTACCAGTCCCCGGGATCCAGGGAGGGGATGATGGAGGTTAGGAAGACCATGCGGAACTTGAGCTTCACCATGTACTGGTTCAGGCCTCGCAGGTCCAAGATGGGCCTGAGCTGCCCCTTTGGCCTTCGGGATAAGAAAATAGTGGGAGTAGTATCCCATGCCTTTGAACTCCTCCGGTACTGCTTCCTAGGCCCAGGAGCTGCCCCACCTCCTATTCAAGCAGAGCCTCGTGCGAGGGGTGAGTTGGGTGGGGAAGAAGTAAACTGGAGAGTGTAGTCCCGGGAGATGGTGTTGAGGACCCATAGGTCCGAGGTTAGCCGCGACCACTCCGGGAGGAAAGCACACAACCGATTGGAGAAGGGAAGCTTTACTGAGGGTGGATCCCAGATGAGAACTGTCAGGGCGCCCCCTGGCATCCCATCAAAACTGCCTTTTCCCTGCCTGCTTGCCCTTGGAGGACCCAGGCTGCGGGGCAGGCCAAGACTGCCTCTGCGGGCACCTCTTATAGTCCTGAGACTTCTTATAAGCAGACTCGGAACTTTGGCGTCGTCTGCCTCGGTCCCGCCGGTATTCGCTCCTCGAGGTGGAGTGGTGCAGAGAGTCCCGATCGGACGGAATCCAGACAGCCAGCCTGGGGGGCGTCGAGGGCTGTCCACATGGACTTTGCTCTCAACAGTTGCTGGGTGGCAAACGGCGTCAGGAATGTTCCCTCGACCGGGACCGAGCCGGGGGTGACTGCAGAGATCCCAGCGGCAGCTTGCCTCTGGAGAGCATGGCCGACATCAGCAGTGCTCCTGGTACCAGCATGGATGTAACATCCCGGGCCGCTTACAGGGCCTCCAGTGTGGAGGGCATCCAGACATCTGGGGAAGCCTGCTCCGAATGGGCCGCGCTACTCCGCTCGACTTGAGTCAGAGGCCTACGGGGCCAGTTAAGATTGAGGACTGCCTGACATGGGTCTAGCCTCTGTCCCAGATTTACTCCTGTGTTGCGGCAAAGGCGGCCTCTTCCTAGGCTTCTTGGTGCGTTCCATAGACGAGAAGCGGTGCCATCTAGTTGATGGCGCCGAAGGGTCACCGTGCACCGACACCGCGGTGCCCGGTGCCGACTTGGAGTGGCGCTCCAGAGCCGGGGTCAGCACCAACTCCATCAGAATAGCCTGGAGCCTAATGTCCCTTTCTCTCTCGGTCTGAGGCTTAAAGGACTTGCAAATCTCGCAGCAATCGCTGAGATGGGTTTCCCCCAAACAGCATAAACAGTCCGCGTGCGGATCACTCACTGGCATGGATCGCCTACAAGTGTCGCATGACTTAAAACCCGGGGCGCAGGGCATGCCCCGGCCCAGGCGCTTTGGCTGAACTGAACTAAACTAACCAACTACAGGTACCAACACTGAATGAACAAGCAGTTCTGGGGACAAGCTACAGCAAAGCTGGAGCAGAGCAGTTCCGTCGCACTTTCAATGGCAGCAAGAAGGAAGTGAGGGTGGGGGGAGCGCACAGCGCCCCTTATACTGTACCATGGAGGCACCACTCCAGGGGTCGCTCCCCTACGGGTACTGTCAGGGCAAAAACTTCTGGCACCAGTTCACGTGGCGAGCACGCACACCTATTGTGGAATTCACATGAGCAATCACTCAAAGAAGAATAATTTTAATATGATTTCAAACTGGTTCAGCCTGAGCTCATGTACAGATGGGGCCCTAGAAAGGATTCCTTCTGGACAGGCAAGGGGCACAAAGGCAGGGTGAGACCTGGAACTGTTTGTACTGCAGACCAACATGCTGTATCTTTGCTGGGATTACAGGACCACATCATCACCTCTCCTAAGCATTACATTTATACGAATAAATCAAGTACAGTAAGATATACTTACAATCTGACACAGACATTTATGCTCATTGACAAGCTTTTCCAGCGATAAGCACTCAATTACATCTGCTTCTGCCAACGCTCCTTCTCGGTCCTGCTTATTTGCCAGCCTAAAGAAAAGATGACCAAAAGTGAGAAGGCAAGTAAAGGCACTTACCACTCTGATCCACAACCAGAGCCAAGCAGGTTAGAGGCCAGTTCAGAAAACAAACTCCATATATATATTTCAGACTAATTTGGGATGGATGGGAGCAGGAGAGAGGGAAAGTAGTGAAAACTAGCTTGTTACTCGTTTAAAAAGTATGGTTCTGGTGTCCTTATCTACTCAATAAAAAAGCAACTATTAATCCATACATTTTAAACTTTCAAAGAACTACACAAATATCAGTCCACATAATGCACCCATGAATTAGGCAAGTACGTTTTACAAACGGGTAAACAGGCTGAGGGATGAAGTGATTTATTCTGACGGACGAAGTGATTTATTCAAGGCCACATAGTAAAATCTGTGGCAGTCTCTGTACTAGAACTCAGGACTCCGACTTCTACTCCCGTCCTCATTCCTCTAGATCAGTGCTTCTCAAGCTCTCTGATGTGGGGTCTGGCAATTTTTTCCCCCCAATGTGAGCACAGAGTGGCAGCCAATGGCTAACGGACCGGCACCAGTCCGCAGACAACCACTTTGAGTAACTCTGCTCTAGATCAATGTTTGTCAACCTTTTTGATACCAAGGACTGGCTTGCTGCCTTCCTAAACTGTGTCAGAGATCTCAGGGACCAGCGCCGGTCCACAGACTGGTCATTGAGAAACACTGCTCTAGATCATGCTTGAGACCATTCCAGGTCCTCCTATACTCCAGTGTTCCACCTACTGAAGACCCATGACTTGAAATCTAGATGATTGCAGTCAGTCAGGGATAGCTCCAACTCTTACTTCCTCAGTGGAAGAAAACTAACAAGACTCTAGAGAGTCATAACTATCAATAGGAATTATAGTTGTATTACAGCAGTACCCAGCTACTCTCATCTGGACTGGGGTCCTATTGTGCTAGAAGCTGTACAAAGGAAGGCAGTCCTTTCTCCAAAGAGAGCGTACAATCTAAGTCTCAATCCTGCAAGCTGCTCCGCATGGACAGAATCTTGTGTCTGCATGAAGGTGTCCGTAGAATCTGGGGCCCAAAATACATGCAACACCCAAAGTGTGGGGGGCGGGGGGAGGCATACAATCAAAAGCATACAATTGACAAAGCACCTACTACTCTCAATAAGGTGCCATCAAATTGGCCTATTTCTTATACACATTGCAGCAAAGAGACGTAAAGGAGAAGGTATATAGGAATCATCATACTGGATCAGACATGATCCATATAATCCAATATCCTGTTTTTAAGAATGGCCAACACCAGATGCTGCAGAGAAGATGCAAGAAACCCCATACTAAGCAGAGGCAAGATAATGAGCCCACATGTAGGTCTCTGTCTTTTCTCTAATAGAGATTGGCGCTTACAACCTGAAAATGACGTTTTATCTCCATTCTAATTCTCTTTTTGTTACCAGTCACTGTTATAATTCTGAATAATCTTGTTCTATATATAAACATCCACTCCCACTTTGAATCTTGCTCAGTCATTGTCACAGGATGTTGTTGCATGGAGTTCAGCAGTCTAATCAGAGGTATGGGAAAAAGTATTTCCTTATAGTAGATTTGAATTTGCCACCTCTTAGTTTAATCGAAGGTCCCTTTGTTCTTATGTTACAAGACAGGGAAAAGACATACTTCATGTAAGGCCTTAAGGATCAACTCAAGGAGGATGTCCTAGGTATACAGGGCAGCAGAGAGGAAGATACAAATATATTTGCATAGGAAGATGATGGCCACCGCACTGAAAGACCAAATCCTGTTCAGGAATCACTATTCATGCAGCTTTAGTCAAGGCCCCTTTTACAACCAAAAGCACTTGTAATATTTTCATAAGCAGAACCTTTTGGAAAATACTGCAAAATCTGCTGGGGAAGACCACAGAAACCAACTAACAGACTCTGCATGTCCCAAATTTGGGACACTCTCAGAGGCCAAACACTCTTTTGGAAGTATTTCACTTCTCTTGAAATCAGCTTGTGTGACCATAGACTACAAGTATCTGCTTTACCAGCCTATACCTATCATCTTTCTCCAAAAGCTTGGTTTAGTTTTACCCCATTACCCACCATTTTCTTCCATTAAATGCGCCATCATTACATGTCAATGTGTGTCCATCTTCCCAATACACAAATACTAAAACCTCTTGAAAATTGTAATACTATATAACAGGGATAGGCAACCTTTGGCATGCGGCCCGCCAGGGTAAGCGCCTTGGCGGGCCGGGCCCATTTGTTTACCTGCCATGTCTGCAGGTTCGGCAGATTGCAGCTCCCACTGGCTGGGGTTCGCCACTCCAAGCCAATGGGAGCTGTGGGAAGCAGTGGCCAGCACATCCCTCAGCCCGCGCCATTTCCTGCAGCCCCCATTGGTTTGGAGCAGCGAAACCCGCCCAGTGGGCGCTGCGATCAGCCGGACCTGCAGACGCGGCAGGTAAACAAACCAGCCCGGCCCACCAGGGGGCTTACCCTGGCGAGCCGCGTGCCAAAGGTTGCTGATCCCTGCTATATAATGTGATGTACTTTTCTCAATTTTACCATAATTGTATCTGAGTGAAACAGTATGCAGAGAAGCACGCGAGAACACTTACTTTGAGCTTTGCAAATAATCCTAACTTTAAATGTTTCAGAAAAAGCATTTATTGAAGAGAGACCTTTTTCTTAGTCGTCTTTTTCCAGATCCATAACTAAGATAAACATGCAATCAGCTGTTTGACAGTTTTCTGAGGCGCCTACAGTCACACAAATAGATTATTGCTTACTAAAAAAACAAATGCAGAGACACAGATGTAATCCAAACTATCTTCTGTAAAACTAGACAACAAGAAACAACGCAAGTCACACAAATTCACTGATTCATTTTAAAATTTTAATGTTGGAAGATTTCCTAGGTTATTTAGTGGGACTTTAACATGTTAAATTTGCAAATTTTTAAAAAAACAACCACTTATTTAGCTTTTCTTGAATGCCTCTGGTTCCAAAAGGATTGAACAAAGTCTGATGACATCAGTACAACGAATAATAGTTCTCTGAGCAACCACATTGCTATTAAAAGATCGGTGGCAACACAATATGGCATTTTCCCTCCTTTTACCTGTTTTAATTAAAAACTAATAATTCTTGAAACCTTCCACCATGGCAATACTGCTCCTTGGCAAATCTCTTTCAACTGTGAGATTGCCATTTAGCAATATATTTCCCTGGCGTTATTTTCCTCCTCCTGAAAGCGACAGTAACTATCTACTGTGCTTGTAGATGATGCAGAACATTTTGGGATACAAGCATAAATCAAAGTAATGTTATTTTGAACTTTCTGTAACTGCTATGATTCTATACTAAATAGAAAACCAGCAACAGCAAAGAACACTGCATAGCAGCAAGAAGTCTGAAAATTACACCCCCCTCTCCTTAATATATTTCATTAAAAGTAATTATATTTTGAAATGAGCACCATCAAAAAGTCTTTCACAATCCTCCCATTGCGATGAAACTTGTATATGAATTTTTGAAAAAAACCCCCAACAACTGTCACCTCCACAAAGGCAAGACACTACATTTGTTTGTTGTTACATTTGAGGAGCCAAATACCATATCTCCATAGCCAATACCATAGCCTGTGCTTTGGACCCATTTCATTCCTGACTGGAGAAAGCCAGTGCTTAAGAACTGGTTCAACTGTTGGCAGAAACTGTCAGCACCTCTTTAAGGGCAGGTTGCCAGCTTTTGTTAATCTACATACTTTAGTTACAGAACTATTCATGTTACTGGTGCTGCACTAGACAGAATTGGCAGATCACCTGGTGAGGGATTAAGAGCAATACGGCTACAGATAGACTCAGCTGCCTTCAATACCATTGATTATAGGGTGTAGCTGGCTTGTCTGCAAACCCACAGAAAAGACAGATGGAGCTGCAATTTGGCAATTTAATTCCCATCAGGGAAATGCCAGAGGCAACAGAAAAGCAATAACTTAGAACTACCCACTGCTCTCATATGAGAGTTTCTACAGGGCTCCATTTTGCTCCCACATCTTGTTCAATTGGTGCATAGAGCCAACAATGTTTTCAGCATGCTCAAATGACCCCCAGCTCTATTCCTCTCTTATCCAATCTAGCCAGTGCTATTAAATGCCTTACTCAAGATATGGTGAAGACTGGGAAATGAATGAGAAGCTGAAGTTAAATCCAAGAGAAAATTGCGATGATGCTGGAAGGTTGGGGAAAGTAACCAGGAAATAAGGTGACAATTACAACTGCTTCCTTAACTGAGGGTGTACATCTACAGTTTGTTACAAGAATTCAGTCTGGAAGTACTGTTGGATCCACAGCATCTCCCACCCATGCCTGGGCCAGAAACTGTGATATGTTTAGACACAGATCTTGCTGCCATGATTCACCAATTGTCACTCTGAGATTAGATTACTGCAGTGTGCTCTTGATTACTGCATCTTAATTCAAAGTGCACTGAACCTGGTACAGAATGTGACAGCCCTCTTGGACTATGGCTACATTACGATATGGCTATGCCCCTACAGCCTTGACACTAAAAAGCATGCAGCGTAGCTGCTGTTCGTCGGCAGGAGAACGCTCTCCTGCCGACAAACAACTTACACCCCGCACAAGCGGTAGCAGCTTTGTCGGCAGAAGCGCTCTCCTTCCAACGAAGTGCTGTTCAGACCGGCACATTTGTTGTTCGGGGGCGTGTGTGTGGGTTTTTTTAAACACCCCTGAATGACAAAAGTTTTGCCAATGAAGTGCCAGTGTAGACAAACCCTTGGTGAGCATGCACCATTTTGTATGACACCTGTGCTTTATGATTTGCACTGGTTTCCAGGTGGAGTTTTAACATGACAACCAAAATGACAGACCAATTCTCGCCTCTCACCACACTATTCTAATTGCAGTTGGTGGAGGCATTCAGACAGGATCCCACTGAAAGAAAGGAAATTGTTGGCTGGGTATGTATTCTCCATT